TAAACCTTCTTCTCCCTTCCCCATTCCCTCTCTTCCAATTCCCTCCCTCCCTTGCCTGCTGCTGCCACTGTACCCCCTCTCCCAGGGGTGAGAAGAGCTCCTGTCCCACTCCAGCTCAGTAACATGGGAGCTGGACCCAGTCTGGGATAGCAGTGTTGGTGGCAGATGGGTGGGTTCCCCTTCCTGGTCCTCCTGGGTGTTCCCTGGACAGGGAAAAGAAAACTGTGCAACCACAGCCACCACTGCTGCTATCTTAGGCTAAGCCCTGTCCCTATGTAGCCTTGGTGGAGCATCTCTGAAGCTCCCCTTGGGTAGAGCGTGAGCAGTGGCAGGTTGAGGAGAGGAGGGGACATGCCTCTGAGCACAAAGGGGAAGGAGTGGAGACATTCTTCCTTGCTTTAGGAATTTAAAAATATTGCTGAGTGATGCCTGATGGTGCAGTCTGCCTGCCCCACTGATCTCACACCCTTCTTTGCGAAATCCTGGATCTGCTTCTGAGTACCAGATACAAGGACAATGTTGTTTCACTTGTGCTTTTGTTAATATGGAGGTATGAGCTGTATGTAAGGTCCTGAAACGATTTTCTGCAAGTACCTAATTGTTGTGCTTATATTTCATATTCTCAGACAGAACACAGACACAATCAATTAATTGACCGTGAGTTGGCTAACGGCAGGGGTGAGCAATTATTTGGGTTGGAAGGCCACTTAACGAGTTTTGCTGAGCTGTTCAGGGCTAAACACACAAACATGCACACACATGTGCACACTGCTCACAGCCAGGCTGGGGCTGGCACCAGAGCAGCAGAGGGAGCCTAAGCCCACCTGGGGCTATAGTATGCCCCAGTCTCCCCACTGCTCAGAGTCAGCACCTGCCAGCTGCATCCATAGCTAGGGAGGCAGGGGATGGGGCCTCTGCATTGTCATGCCCCACCATTAGGGCTCCATTGTGTTCATATCCTCCTCCCCACCCACCGACCCTGTGGCTCCCAGGAGCCCTGATGATGAGGCGGGGCAGGGTGGGATGGAACAGAGGCTGGTCTCTGCTAGCGCTGCAGGTGACACTGGGTGGAAGCAGTCCCACCTGTATGCCCAGCACCACGTCAGCTGGACCCAGAGCTGCTGGGGCCTGACTACAACCCACCCGGGACCTTGTGCATGGTGCTGCTGCCCACCTGCAGGTCAGATAAAATCAGTTGGTGGGTTGGATCTGGCTTGGGGGGCCATATTTGCCCATATTTGCTGGTTTATGGTTTCTTTCACACGTCTCATCTTAGCACAAGTTTGTCAGGGGTAAAATTATTTAGGGGTGTGTGGGTTTAGGCCTCCCAATCCCAAACAGATAGAGAGAATAGGTAATTCCTGTTAACTCACCTTCCAACCTGTGCTGAACTGCATTTCCCTTAGAAGGAAAAGCAAGCTTTTGTAGTGAGGTTCAGCTCTTTCTAAAGCAGTAGTTTGCACAGGACTACAGAACTTGGGTAGGTGTTTGACCTATGCATCAGGACACTGGGTAAAAATGTATTACTTCATTCTGAATTTGAAATCAATAAAGGATGTAAGACAGTGAGAGATCAGACTGCACTAGCCTCTTCTGTGATGACTGAATAGGTAGTCTTTAGGAGTTTATTGTTTAATAAAATTTCAGCCACAAAAATCTAATACTTGGCATTTGTCCTTACCAGCACCTGCTGCATGCAAGTTTTGAAAAGGAGCTTACCTGTGCAGTAATATCCCAGCCATCTTCCAAACAAACCATAACCGAGGAACCATTCTCAAGGAGTTCTGAGATGATCACACTTAATTGCATTATCCTGTGAAGCTACATAATATTAAACATAAGTAACATGTTGGAGCTCAGGATAAATCTCTTGATATTACTGACCAACATAGTGATTTTATAATTAATAAGTATTTAAAATTCCTATCTTATGAAATGTATGAATAATGTGCAATTTCGTGCAATTGTATGACACGTGCAAACAATGCAGAATAGTTGGTTAGTAGCACTGTGACAGAGTCTGAAATCACCATACACCAACGTGTCAAGGTTTTCAGATGAGTTTTACTATAACTAAATCAAAACTAAGACAGGAGAACTTAGACTGAATCACTGATTCTCCTTATATTTTGTGATAAAATAGGTGCTGTACAAATATTTAGTGATTTAAAGGAAAATGGGAGGAGCTCATACGTTGTTAGTGCAAAAGCTAGTTTCAGAGTTGGTGTGTGCAGAGCTCCGCTGTCTCTCTCAATGGTGTTGCCTTACAGTATGTAGACATATCAACAGAGGATAATTTACTGTAGATTGAGCGCATAAGTTATGTGGGCCTTACACATTTTCCCACAAGAAACCCCCCATTCCATAATGTCACTAAATACATTAGAATTGTTGAATGGGAAAACATCATATAGGAGATTTATAGAGAACATTTCTATGGTTTAAACACTTCAGAGTTTGACATTAATTCACTGGAAAGTATTTTAGACATTTCCAAATGGATTTTAAAAATCTTTATAAGACTGGGCTCTGTTCCTCTTTTTCTTATTAACAAGCTTATGTTGGTTTATCAATAACTTATTTATCACAGTAAAGTGTTACATTCCATGACTAAAAAGAGTCTCTCTGTGTTCTGTTTCTATCATTTTTTTATTAGTCTTAGTATTCCAAGATGTATGTAAAACACGCTTGTGTAAACTGCATTTATGTACATAGTTCTGTACTAGTTTTGTTTTTAGCAGTAGGATGGAACCCACTGGGTATATCTACATGTGCATATTAATGCACTGCAACAAACTCCAGTGCTTATTGCACCAGAGTTTATTGCTCCAAGGTGTGTGTGTGCCCAGGATTGCAGCGCATTGAATTGGATCAGAGCAGCCCCAGTTGGCAGGAGGCCCTGGGGGTAACTCTGCCAGCCTGGGGCTGCTCCCTGTGGCTCAACAGGGCTGCTCGGTGCATAAGGATGTTTCAGTGCAAGGCTAGCCAGCAGGCAGCCCCTGCACTGA